TACAATCTCAATCTCTTCACCATCCATCCTGATGCTGCCAATTGGTCCAGTGGTGAGAATCTTTGTCTTCTTGACGTTGAGCCTCAATCCATATTGTAGGCTGCAGTCTTTCCAGTAATTCCTTTTCAATGGCATTGTCCAACTGAGCAGATATTAATGCCTTTTGCTCTCTTCTTTTTTCCCTCCTTTCTACCTTCTTACTCAAAGGAACAAGTTTCTTCTGTCGCTTTAGTGTAAGTTTTTGTATTCGAATTAGATACTGAGTGAGCTTGGTGAATCTCTGCCTGCATTTGTGTAGAATAAAACGTGGCCAGTAAATCAGATTTTTATCTATTTGCTCCAATGCTTTCTCATAGTGTTTACTGAACCCGACCCTTTCCCAGAGACGTCTTGGGAAAGCTGTTTGTTCTATGACCTTCATATACAGGAAGAACTGTCCTTTCTCCTCTTTGATAGTGGCATACTGACTGTTTGCCAAGGGACAGGATGACTGATTACACAGTCCAGTCAAGTTGTATTCATTTCTACAAAAGCCCTGATTCTTCATTCTTATTTTGAAGGAACAAAATTGTTTGTTTCCTAGTGTATCCCAGATAACATCATCTGACTGCATGATTACAGGGCTTCAGCATGGCCAGGCACAGGAAACTGCCATGCTTCTTCCAAGGGACCGCTTCCCTGGACCAGATGGTTTTACAAGAGAATTTTATCAAACATTCAAAGAAGAACGATAACCAATTCTACATAAACTATTTCAGAAAATAGAATAGAATGTAATTCTCTCAGATTCATTCTATGAAGCAAACATATCCTTGATACCAAAACCAGTTAAGTACACCACCAAAATAGAAAACTATAGGCCAATATCTATTATGAACATAGATGAAAAAATTCTGAATAAAATCCTGGCCAATAGAATCCAACAATACATCTCAAAAATAATTCACCATGACCAAGTAGAATTCATAAAAGATATGTAAGAGTGGTTCAACATAAGAAAGACAATCAATGTAATTCATCACATCAATGAAGCAAAGAACAAGAACCACAGGATTCTATCACTTGATGCAGAAAAGGCCTTAGACAAAATCCAACACCCTTTCCTGATTAAAACACTCAACAAAATAGGATTAGAGCAGAATTTCCTCAACATAGTAAAAAGTATATACACAAACCTGAGAGCCAATAGAGAGAGATTAAAGGCATTCCCCTTGAGAATAAAAACTGGGCAAGGATGCCCACTATCACCTCTCCTATTCAATATTGTATTGGAAGTCTCAGGAAATAAGAGGTATTCAGATTGGCAAAGAGGAGGTAAAATTATCTCTCTATGCAGATGATATGATAGTATACTTAGAAAACCCTGAAGACTCAGCATGAAAACTACTGGATGTAGATCAATGAAATAGAATTGAGAACTCAGAAATCAGCCCAATTACCTATGGTCGACTGATTTTTGACAAGGAGATTAAATCAGTTAAGTGGGGAAATGACAGACTTTTTAAAAAAAATTATTAATCTTAATGAACATTTACAGAGATTTTGGACATCCATTCATTCATGGTCGCACTTTTCTCCCTGCCCAGCCCTCCCCCCACCCCACAGTTTGCTCCTCTCTTCGAAAAGTAAAAGAAAAATTCTTTCTTTGGTATACAATCCCCCTGCACCCCTCCCACCACCCCGAGTACACTCCACTATGTGATCTTAATTCTGGACTCTTGTGATAACCATAATACCCTATCATATATTGCTTTTAAATTATTCTCTCCCTCATCTGTTTCAATGCAGTATACATAATTTATCCAGTTTTTCCTCACTCTTACCCCAACCCTGATGTCAGTCCCATTCTACAACAGTGGCACCATGCAGTATTTGTCCTTTTGTGACAGAGATATTTCACTCAGCATAATAATGACAGCTTTTTTAACAAACAGTGTTGGCAAAATTGGAAAATCATCTACAGAAAGCTCAAACAAGACCTACACTTCACACCGTATACAAAAACCAACTCAAAGTAGACTAAGACCAAGGACTATAAACTTCATTAGAGTAAAGCTTGAAAGAACCGTAGAAACCCTAATCCACAACACGAACAGTCTTTCAAGGATCCTGAAAAACCTACAATCAGGAGAGGAGAAAATAGATGAATGTGACCTTCTAAGAATCAAATCCCTATGAACATTTAAAAACTTATCCAATAGGGTAACAAGGAAAGCCACAGACTGGGAAAACATATTTGGTAATGACATATCTGATAAGGGAATTATATCTACAATTTATAAAATACTCAAGTACCACAACAAGATACAGGTAAACAACCCAGTTGAAAAATGGGAACAGAAAATAAATAGACACTTCACCAAAGAAGTTTGTTCAGATAGCAAACACATGAAGGAATTCTCAAAATCCCTAGCTCTAAGAGAGATGCAAATCAAAAGAACTATGAGGTATCACCTCACCCCTGAAAGAATAGAAAAATTTAACAGAACAGGGTTGACATGAGGGCGGGAGGGGGGAATTAAGAAAAGAGGGGATAAATAATCTACACGGCATTGAAACAGATGAGGGTGAGAACTGTATAAAAGCAATATATAATCAGGTATTATAGGCATGACAAGAGTCCAGAATAAGAGTTGCACGGCAGAGTGGTCTGCAGGGTGGTGAGGGATTGTGTAACAATGAAATATCTTTTTTTCCCAAAGAAAAAAGTGATCTGGTGGGGTGGGGTCAGGGAGGAAAATGTGCAACAATGAACGATTGGAAATCCAAGTTCTTTATACACTTTAATTAAAATCTCAATTAAAAAATTAAAAATAGGGAACCAAGATGGTGGTGGTGGCGGAAACAATGTAAGGAGCTGCAGTAACAGCAAGCTGCGTAGAAACAGGCCACCAAGGCCCTCGGCAGTCCTCTATTTATTGATAATTGAACATTTAAATAATTGATTACTGGTCTTCAATATGGATCAAGGCTTAACATCAAGACATTAAAGATTCTCAAAGAAGAATTAATAAGTCCTGTGGCTCTTGTTGTGCCACAATCGTGAGTCCCCCAAGGACACCAGGGAACCGAAACCATTGCAGGAACATGAGGAATTTTATTAAGAGCTCAAGCAGCGATTTTACACACACTCCCCACCCCCCACGCAGTGGCAGTATGGCAGAGCCCCCAGTGCTTTGAGACAAGGGTTTTTACTGGTGCTTGGAGTGGCAAAGACTGAGTGAGGGGCAGGAAGATACAAGGGGATTGGGGAACTTGAGAGGGAAGATGGCGGCAGAACACAGTTATTGGCTAATTTAAAAATAAGCAGGCTCATTAGCAAGGGCACGAATATTTGGCATACTCTGACTGGAGTAAGGTTCATACAGCAGGAGTTAGAGTCACTGTCTTGTTGCTGAGGTCCTTTCAGGAAGTGAACTTGAGAAAAGCAAGGACAAAGGACTTAAGATGGCAGCCAGACCAGATAGATAGATAGATAGATAGATAGATAGATAGATAGATAGATAGATATAGATATATAGAACAAATCTTGACTCTTACACTCTCAGCTCCCACCCCCACCCCACCACCACCGGCCCATCCTGTCACCACAGCTCCATGAGGCTCCTGCGGTCAGACCGCAGGGATACCCTCCCCTTGGATGGACAGCAGGCACCAGGCCCTGAAGCTGGTGTGGTGGAGCCTCCACACTACCACAGAATAGACTTGTTCTGGGAATATGTCTCTGAACCAAGATAGTGGCGGTAGGAGATACGGTGTGGTGAGCAGGAAGCCCAGTAGGCCGCAATGAAGCAGACAGTGCAATTTAAATGTACCCAAAGAGCCAAGCAGTTGACTGCTGGCCATCACTGTCGACTGTAGCTCAACATCAGGAGGACGGGCATTCTTGGGGGAACATGGATGGCTCCTGCTTTCTCCCTCTGCCTGCCGCCAAGCCCACGCTGCTGTGATTACATGCCGCTGCTGTGTCTGGGGCCCACAGGTCCCCTAACCTAGACCAAGTGGTGAGTGCTGGGCCCCTTGGCCAGTGTGGTGGAGCCTCTGTGCAGCCAGAGAGCCACAGGCCCCCGGGGGCCAGTGGAAATACTGGAGGTGAAGGTCTTGATAAAGCAAAGCATCTCGCTATCAGTAAAGATTTCCTTGGACAGTCCAGAGAAGAAGATCATCAACACAATGGATTGATAAGGGTCACTTTGAGTGACCTACAACTGATGACACTTAACAGCAACATATCCAAGATGGCAGATATCCTCAATTTACCACATCTTTTGATCTCTTTACTACTGCTGCCAAAAACTGTTTAGACTTAGGGAGGGTCTCTTCACCACTCTCGAATTCCCTTCTCCATTTATAAAGGGGGAGGACAGTGATGCCTACTTCAAATTGCAGTCTGACTATTTGGTGGAGGGGAGGTGGGTAATGGTGGCAGTTCCAGAACTGGGGGTGCTGTCACCGGCCATGGTCTTCAGGGAGGCACAGGGTCTAGACCTTGGTGGGGGAATTTTCAAGGGGGGTGTGCTGCCCAGGCCCTGGAGTGTGTCACCCAGCCACTGGGGTGTGTTCAGTCCCTGGAGTGAGCCATTTGGCCTTTGGGGTGAGCCACTGGGCCCTCGGGGTGTACTGTCTGGCCCTCTGGGAGAGCCACCGAACCCTTGGGGTGAGCTGTTTATCCCTTGGGACGTATCAATCTGACCCCTAGGAAGAGCCTTCAGGTCGCAGGGGAAAACTGCCTAGGGTATGCAGAGAATTTTATCTAGGCCACTCTCCCTTACCTTCCCCCCAGCACATCTGTAATTAATGCCTCCAAAGCCCTTCTATTTGTAACTCACGAATTTGTTCTCTCTAGGTTTGCTCCCTTTCCTATAGGTAACCTTAACATTGAGTTTACTCCAGATCTGAACTCTGAACTCAGTTCCAGAGACAAAAGGGAAATATAACTTCCAGCCAAGGAGGATGGAGCCTCAGGGTTCAGCCAGGCATCCCCACTGGGCCCACCTTGGCAAATACTTTGCAGTCTAGAAAGCAGTAAACATCAGGAAAATATCTTCTAACAGACCAAGAAGGCAATCAGCTTCAACACAGGACCACCAGTAAGGTGTTAACGTGGGCTCCCCTTCCCACTTTCTCCTTCACATCAATGCCCCTGTTCAGCATGAAAAAGCCAGAGTCTGTGCCCCATTCCCAAATGAGAAACTCACAAGGGAATAAGACAATTTATTTGGTTTTGTGTTTTGTTTTATTTTAAATTAATCACTATTGGACTATGCTCACCATTACCCTGTCTCTTCTGGTCCCCACTGGATCTTTCTCATTTCCTTTGCCTACTCCCCCCACCCACCAAATTATGCAGCCCTGCAATTTCATCTCTGCCCATCCTCACCCTTCTGCTCCCAACCCTCACCCCCTTGTATCCCCCATACATGTTTTTAACAATAAACAATAAACAAAATAAAACAAAAATATAAAAAGAAAAAAAAAGAAATCCCCTTTGCCTGGAGCACAGGAGAAAACATAGCTCTGTTGATAGTCAAGTTCAAACTTACAGGCTGCTCCTTAGAAGCAATGATGGTGAAACTTCGTATCACATATTTGGCATATGTTGTCTGAAAAGTC